TCATGCTGTGGGACAATTTATGCCTTAAGGAGTACTCCTCCCCGAAGACCGATATATCGGGAATGGCATGGGCGAACACCCCGCTGAGGGAATATGGAAAGAGTTTCGGTTCTCCTAGTTATGGCCTGTTGCCAGAATTGATAAGTTTTGATCCATTGAATAATGTGCTGGAGGAGAATGGAAATAATAAAAGTGACGGTTTGAAGATTATAAAAACGACTCCAATTTTATTTCCCACCGAAAATGAGGGGTTGCGCGAAGAAAGTACTGAACCTAAACCCAAACCCTTTCTGTTCAGGAAATGGGAAGTAATACACATTGTGAAGATATCAGACAAAGACTGAAATCCTTAGCACAGTACGTTGCCCTAAAGCAGGGGTCAGGGAACTTTTTTACCTTTCCCCCCCCCCAAAAAAAAATTATATATGCCAATATTACCCCTTGATTTGAAAGGAAGGAAATCATACATTATTTGAATTAAAAATATTATTGAATCTACACAGGCTGTGTACTGAACTAGCAGGACATATCATAAGTATCAATGGCTGCCAGGCTATGTACTGAACTAGCAGGATGCACCAAATTTAATAAAGATGTGCACTATTTTTGCTAGAACACATTGCATTCCAGCCATGGGGTGGTATAGGGAGTAATAAGGTGTCCAATGTGCCTAGCAAGTTGCATTAAATTTTTGCTAGCTCGCAGAGGATTTAATCATCATCAGTGGCTGCCAGAGTGGCGCTAGCAATGATATGCTTGCTCGAGACAGCCAAGACAAAGTTGGGGTGGGGGTTTCCTACCACTTTCTTTAATCATTCTGTGTGTGGTGTGCAAAAAGGAACCAACCAGGCTAAAGGTCATGTCACCCACCCTGGTGCCACAGCCCAATATCAAAAGACCAGTGCACTATTTTTTAAAATCATCATCAATGGAAAACTCAGCAGTGGCCAGAGGATTGGAAAAGATCAGTCTACATCCCAATCCCAAAGAAGGGAAGTGCCAAAGAATGCTCCAACTACTGTACAATTGCACTCATTTCACACGCTAGCAAGGTTATGCTCAAAATCCTACAAGGTAGGCTTTGCTCATTACCCCAGGATTTTCATTTTTACTACCTTTGGGGTAATTTACCCCTGTTCCACAACCACTAACAGGTTACTTCTTCTAAAACTATCAACTACTTATAGAACTGCAAACACTACCTACAGACACACACCCTTCTTTACAAGAATGTCTGTAGGAGAAAAAATCCAACTGAATCTTCCTAGCATGCAAAAGTAGAAACCTTGTAAATGCAGGAGGGAAAGCCACTTTAGCAGCGAAAAGGCTGGAAAGAGTTGAATCTGCCTTTTAAATCATTCAGACAGTAAAATATATTTCAAATTCACCTATTTTATAAGCAGAGCTGCATTTGACCATATACTGTAGTAACATTCTCTGTATGTGTGTATCCCACTAATAGTGAACTAATTCTCTGATTGTGAATTGAAAAGAGCAACAAAGAGGTGTCAATTTTAGAGAAGTGCTGTGTTTTACTTGTGGGGGAATCTGAGAAGGTTCTCCTCAGAGCCCTAATCACTACCCAGTGGGATTGGTGTATGCTCAAGAGAAGCACAGAATGAACATTGACTCTACCCTTGAGAGGGAAGCAGAAAGCCTGGAAGGAGAATAACGCTTCTTGGGAAAGGGCATAATTGTCAGGCTAGAACCCAGAACAGGAGCCTTCCACACTGCAACATATTGTTGCTAATTCTGTTTGTAATCATTAATACATGTTTTTCATGTCAGACAGTTCAATCAGGTTTAATAATGGAAGGCATCATTAGCCATGTGTAGTAAAGTTCAGGTTTCATTTTAGTGTAGGGCCAAATCAAATTTGACTGAAGCCGGTCCATGTCCATACGTTTGCAATGTTGATGCACCCAGTCACTTAAGAGCTGGAGGTTAGAAGGGAAAAGGACACACATGTGAAGGAACAGAACCATTCATGCCATAAACTATCAGAGGAATTATGTAGGAAGTTGAAATCTGAAAATCAATCAAAAGCTTTACTGAGACTTCACTCACACCAACGAGGCAACCATGAACTTGTGCCTTCAAAAACCAGGCCCTGGCTGGAATCCAGGGGTTACACTGGCGCACTAAAGCTGAACCAAATGGAATGGCACAGTCTTGCTCAGAAGGGACACTGGCTAAGCATATAAAAAAACAGCATGTCATGTCCCAGACACAGATTGTTACCAGTTCTCTTATCACAGGCTCCAGCTGCAGGAGCCTAGTAGCTACTTACTAGGCTGACAGAATGCCAGCTTCCTGGATCTGATACCAAATCTTTATGTGTGTGCTCAGACCAGCTGAGAAGCCCTATGTGAATTGTTATACTAATGATAAGGGGGTGGGGTGGGGAAGGTCTTTTCAATGGACTATGATCCCAAAGTCAGCCGTGTTCCAAACCATTTAAAGGGGAAAACAGCTTTAAAAAGCGAAGCACTGCAGTTGATAAAGGAAGGATGTAGGAAGGGCAGCTGGGTATTCAGACCTTGCCTCACTATTGGCAGCAAACCTCTCACTGAGTTCTGCACAGCTGTGAAACTCCCATCCCTTAACAGATCCAGCAAAGTCTCTGTTGCCACCCTAAAGCTGTGTTAGAACTGACACTGAAAAACAGTTTCTATATGCTGTGGCTCAACTCCTGGGAAATTGCGGCTCAGAAGGATCATGTGGGAATAATAGCATACACCAAAGCTGCACATCCCTGGGGGCTGCATGCCAAAACCCTCCACGTCAGGGGTAAGGAACTTTGAGCTTCTGGATGCTTTAGTTTCTCTACCACTCACCTGATTCCACTCACGGTAAGGCATGGTGGAAGCAGCAGGCCAAAATATGTGGGTTGTTGTTCTATGTGTGAAGACGTGGGCTTTGGTCCACAGGTGAGGTCAAGCTCAGCATCTTTCCTGTCCTCTCAAGAGAGGATGGAAGGCTTCAAGTAGCTCCTTTCCCCAGGCTATATCCTGGACAAGTGTTGTTTGCCTCAACAGTTGGAGCAACCAGCTCTGGAAGGCAGGAGAAAAGCAAGAGGGGGTGGGGGAAGTTTGCTCAAGGGATTCCCTGCCCAAAGGAAAGCATAAAAAGGGCAGCAGAGAGAAAATCAGAGAAGGAGCCAGAGATGGAGAGGACCAAGAGAGAGGAAAGGAAGAAAGAGGAACAGAGGACTGGTCTAGAATGGGAAGAAACCACAGCCAGACCTCAACTTTAGAAGACCCAGGTCCTTCCTTCCCAAAACCAAGTGCTGTCCAAGGAAATTTGGGTCAAGCACTCATGTCAGCAATTGGGCCAACTATAGGGCACCAGGCAGTGTTGCCTGCAGAGCCTGGGGAGACCTCACCCAACATTGGCATCCCAACTCCAGTGGAGCTGTGCAGCTGGCTAAGGATCTGATAGGAAGGAAGTTGACTCTGCAGTGAGTAAAGACTGGGAGGAAGTCTTCTTGAGCACCATGGATGCCAGTGAACCACTCTTTTGCCACTATAGGACTTTAGAGGTGGGCTGTTTCCCCGATGGAACGGTGACTTTGAGAACCCAGGAGTGATTTGGAGCCTCTTGGGGAAGACTGAGATTGAGTGGGGAAAGACCAACCCAAGGACAAACACGGCACGTGGCCCCTTTGTAAATATTCCCCAGTAAAAGTGATGTGGAATTGGAAGTGCCTCTGAATCTTCATTAAAATGATGAGTACAGTGGTGCCTCGCTTAACGAGCGCACCGTATAACGACGAATCGCATAGCGATCCCTTTTTCAGGATCGCTAATGCGGAGGCATACCGACGGTCGCAATGGGCAAAACTCGCATAGTGACGACAGGTAAGCATTTCGCTTACCGATCTTCGCTTTGCGATGCCCACGGATCAGCTGTTAGGCGGTTCCAAAATGGCTGCGTGCAAAGTTTTCGCGCCCTCCCCTCGCTTACCGAGGGCGTGAAAATGGCTGCCGGTATGGAGGAAACTTCGCTAAACGGTAAGTTTAGGGCCCATTGGAACCCATATGTTCCGTTAGGGCCCATATGTTCCGTTTAGCGATGTTTTCACATAGTGAGGGTTAATCCGGAACGGATTAACCCTCGCTATGCGAGGCACCACTGTACAGTAATCCTGGTAGTCCCTTCAAGGTTCCTGTACCAATGGACAGACTAGAGACCTCCAGACCATGTCATCCATACCACAGCAATAGAAACTGTTATTCATAACAAATCCACTATTAGATTTTTCTGTCTGGGCTGTAATTTTTTTAACTAGCTTTTAACAACTTAGGTTATGACATTAAATGTAATTTTAATGTTTGTATTATAAATTTCTGTTGCATTTCATACAAATGGAACCTGCAATAGAATGTTGCAGTGTGTTTTCCTGTTCAGGATTCCAGTCAACCAAGTCATGTTCCTTGACCAGGACACTCCAGGCCATTCTGCCCCAACCCGGTTTTTCCATTTCCCTCTCATGGACAGTCTGTCAGCTTTCCATGGTATGTTTCCATGTCCAAGTTCTACTATAGATTTTTTTTACGTTATTTATATATTTTGTTGGTATTAGTGCAAAGACTGGAGTTTCTCCAAGTCCATGGATACGTCACTGCTTCGTGTCAACGGCAGTGTTTTGGCTTCGTAAAGATTCAAGCTGAAGTCTGAACACTGGAAAGAGAGGGAATGCTTTTGAGGCACTTTGCCTGCCCTGAATCAAGATGACAAACATTACTTTTTTGGACTATAGGTCCCAGAATCCACCAGTCCACATGTCCAACGTGCAACCTGGCTGGGATATTCTGGGAGTTGTAGTCCATACACCACATTTTCTCATCTCTAGACCTTTATCCATGGGCATGGATGGGATAAAAATGGAAACAAAAATGATAGCATGGAATTCATCTGCGATGGAACCAGAAAGCATTCTCTGGAACATCACATTGGAAGAAATGGGACATAAGAAAGCGTGTGGTTTCCAAACTTACCCTAGAGATTGTATCAAATGTCTGAGATGTCATTCAAATGCTCACGAGGTTTCTGCCTTCAATGATTCTTCCCAGGAGATGACAGTTCACTTGAAAGTCATGGTCAGATGAATGAACAGGCAGGAGAAGGGGGAAGTTGAAAGAATGACTGCATTTAGCACATGACCGCCCATGAGTCACTCTGGGTGTCAGCTGCCCTGAAACACTGTTGATGTGGCTTCTATAGCCTGTTAATCTCTCACCATTATTTTTTCTCAAGCTTTGGAAAACACCACCCTGAAATTAAATATTCCCATGCCCTGCTGCAACCAAGGTCATTAATATCGTATATACACATACTTTTATATGTTTCTGTGTACATAACTTCCCATGCAGAGGGTGTGTGTTTACTTTTGCTTGGACACCTCTTATACACACAGCCATCCGTCAGATTTACGCAGTCATAAAACAAAACAAAAAAAGTCCATGCACTGGAACTCAGTGGACATCAGCCAACAGATCCCCAGATGAAGCCTCCTAGGGAATAAACATGCTTACTAAGGAATACGACCTGGTGAACTCAATGAGATGGACTTCTGAATGAACATGCTTTACACATAATTGTTTTTGTATGATGTATGCCATCCTCAACCCACTGAAGCTGTTCCTGTTGTTGTCAATACTGGGACTGGGACTTTATTTTACCATGTTGACCTACACTACACTGGCTAGCTTTTAGTCACATAAGGTCCTACAGTCCTCTAGCATGGATTAAAGCAATTGTCCCATTTACTGGGTTCAGAAGTACTGTACCATTAAAGAGGAGTAGTTTGAGTTGTGGCGTATGCTCTGCTTCTTACCATGTCTTTGCTGTTCAACTACACACTCAAAACCTCCTCCCACTACGAAGGGCCCTGTCTGCTTTGCACTTCATTTTGACTCATAGGGGAGAGTGAGGTTGTTGCTCTGGAGTGAAGCAGTGCGTGTGTGCACAAAGCAATGGAGGACGGCCACTTATGTAGCAACTAAAAACAGGAGAAAAGGAGGCTCAGAAGAATAGAAACATTGCAGGTGCCAATGCAGACTTAGAAATAGGCAATCATTGACACAGAAATGCAGTATTCCTCACCATAACGGGGGCAACAGTGTGCAAGGGACCTGGGTTCCTGCTCAATCTGTTATCCAGGTTTTAAGTCAAGATAGCTAACTTCAAAGTACACAGTGCTCTCCTTTTTCATGGTGGTTCTGCATAAAATAGATTTGTGACTGGACCAACCACCCCATAGAGACAGCCTTCAAAGAGAGGACTGCCCTTTTTACATTAGGACCCTTGTTCTGGGAGCAGGAGTGGCATGCTGGAGAAGATGTCTGTGCCAAAGGATGTCCTCCTACTGTTGGGTGCCATGGCAGACACTGTCCCAGTGTTGGAGTTAGTTCTCTCACCTTTCATTTTTGGCAGCAAACTGTTATTTAGCCGTTTTTCTGTTTTCAGTTTATCTTTCATTTGTTTGTCAAAAAATAAGCTCCCCCCCCTTTTTTTTTTTTGCTTAAAGTTGTTTGTACTCTGAAATCTAACTAACATGGTGGAGAAGAGGAACCTGCATGATTAATATAAGGACCAACCAATCTGTACCATCCAGATGTGGTTTCTGCTCCAAACTTGAACAACAGGTTCTCTGGAATTCAGCCATCAGAAGACGGTTGTATATGCAGTGAGTGTCCTTCCATAATAGGTTCACTGCTGATATACGGCTCTGATACAACATTGTAAATAAATCTGAGGAATGTTCTGGGCAGATAACTTCTTCTCCGTCTTATCCACCTTATGTCACTTTGGCTAATGCTTTTATTCTACTCTTTTTTGTTCCTCATGAAAGTGTAATTTATTTACTGTGTTGCTTTGTACCAAGGGTGGGATTTAGCGCTTCTAAATGTCCACAGTGAGAGCCAGAGAAGCTCCAGCAAGGAAATGGATTTCTTAAAGATGTGTCAAATAGAATAGAAGACAAGTGTTTTTTTAAAAAAAAGACAGGTTTGCACACAAGTCTTGATATGCTCCATGGTCCATCAGCATTAACTGAAAGAAAAGGGCATGGGATGACTGTTCTACAAGAACCTACACTCAGTTTGTGCATAGTGTACAGATAACACTTATGGGGGGAAAAGAGACCTTTGGGTAGTGTGGGCGGCATATAAATTAAATAAATAAATAAATAAAATGCCAGACAATCTCCACTGATCTCATTGAAAGGAAACAGAAACCTGACTAAACATCTGCAAAGGAAAAGCAAAGTGTGCGGCTTATATATTGCCACATTGTATACAATTTAATTATGTAGGCTACAAATTCCTACCCCACCCCCACCCCCCATGAGTTGGGTTCTCAGTTTAGTGACTTTGAAAGGATGGAATGCTGAATGAATCCAGCAGAGGTTTGGCTGCAGAACTGCTCTTTTCACTATTGAGCCACAAGACTCCTTCTGCATCCAGGAGTTCTCCATTCTCAGACGACTGGGTTGCAGAGGCCTTAACAGTAACGTGTCACACAAGCTGAAAGGAAATCTTTTGTGGCAGGACTCATTTAAGAGTGCAAAGTGGTTTTTAATGCAGAAATAGAGTGTGTTGCAGCTGTCAGAAGGCTGGGAAACGCTAGAGTGAAAACTAAGAGGGTTGCATTTGCTCCTTCAAAGCCATCTGGGCAGAACAGCTCTTCCTCCTCTGGAGGTTCTTTAATCTTGACTGAATTTTCAAGAGTGATGTTTTTTCAGGAAGTTTACTGGGATGCATTTCCTATCATATGGGAGGATGTAAAGAAGCATGACCTCTGATCAGGAAAAGAATATTTTTTTTCCCCTTGGACTTTTACATAGCCAGGAGGAGTTCTGGCAGAGGTGAGTGAGTGGGAATGCATACAGGATGTAGGTTTGCAGATAGCACTTGAAACCACATCCACCATCCTGTTTAAAGTGGATGCTTCTTGCCAGCTGAACAAGCAGGAGTGCCAAGGAAGAACGAAAGAACAAAAGAACGAAAGGGAGGAAGGAAGAAAATAATTCTGGCATTATGGCTTCAATGCATGCAATCACTTTCCTTTCTGGAAGAAACCAGTTTCTGTAAAAATTAATAGAAGGATGCAGAGCTCTGAGCACATGAAATGTTGATCACACACAGGCTGAAATTTAAGCTTGTGGTGAAAAGTTACATAGAGTACGACTTTTAGGGTTTCAGTTCTGGTGGGGAAAAAGGGCAAACTAGCACAAGAAAATGCCCCCAAACCTAATTTATGCATCTACACATATTAAATTTCTCTTTCTATAATAACATCACATTCAAAGGCAACTGTAATAACTCACCACAGAATTAAAACAAGCCTAATGGCAATGGACACACTAGACACCCTGCATTCCTCATGGGTATGTTGCTGGCAGAGGGAAGAAGTGTTTCTCTTTAATGGTGACATCTCTTGCACACTCTTGGCCTGAAGGAAAAGAAGATTTGAAACCTTACTCTCAAGACTACACTTGTCTATGAGGGCCAGGGTGGTATGTTAGTTGTAAGTGTTAAACTGTACTAGGCAAACCTGAGGCCAGAAACAAGCATGCGAGATAGCCCATGATAAGAGCTGAAGGCATGTTAATGTTGCAGGGAGATGGTTCAGTTAATCCAAAGGAATCCTCTGCTTCAGTTCTGATGATAAAATAATCAAACAAAGCGAGCTGTTGGCATTCAACTGCTTTCATCTGTTAAGAATGTCCCTCTTCCAGGGCAATCTCTGTTTCTGGCCCTAATTTGAACTTCCGCTCATCTATACCATGTACTTCATGTCTTCGATCAGTCGACATATCTTTGTCACTAATCTATGTTACATAGTTATAATGTGAATAAAAACAGGGATGATAATGATGATGATTGTTTACTTCATTATTGAAAGAGATTCACATAATGACCTCACCTGTGCCTCATTCTCCACCTGGAAAAAGCTCAGAGAGCTAGTTATATGTCTATAAAAACAATAGATGGCCTTGAGGGCCTTGCCCTGAAATTTATAATTTGAGAAGACAGGACAGTGAAGGAAAAGGGACATGATAGGGAAAAGAAAAATCAGGCATTAGATTTTGTCTAAGATGTGATTTATATGCAACTGAGATGCTAAAATGCAGCCAAACATTGTTAATCTTTGTCTCATGACTACCTCAGAGGAAACAGCTCAGGTAGAAAAGGAGCGCAAAATGACAGAACTCTCAGTTGAGCTAAGATGGTGGCCTGCTTCTTTGCATCCTTGGTCTTCTGCTGGACAGAATGGCTGTTGGTTGGATGCTAAGGTAACGAAGGCGTGAATGGAAGGAAAGTGTGTATTTTACTATAGGCCAGCATTTCGTCACATTCTGATAGTTATTCAAAGTAACTAAAAATAATAGTTTGGTTACTTTTGAGAAAGGGGACACTGAGTGCTACTTTCAACAAACTGTATAAGGGTAATCAGGAGGTCTTGAAACTACAATAATAACTGATGTATTTAAAAAAAAAACACCCACAAATATCGAAACTGGAGTTTCTATTAATGTAAGAAGAATTGCATCAGGCTATTCTTACTGGTGTTGATGATGATTGTAAGTGAAACCATCCCAGGGATACATGTTAGGAAAAGCTTGCACTGAGACATAGTCATCTGACTGAGCAAATCCAATTGCATGTGTCACATCGTTACATGAGCAAGAGATACATGCATGTTATAGTTTTAATTGCTTTCCATATCATTACTATCTATGGAAAACGTGCCTCTTGTGAGAAACTAATTTTTATTAACTGCATTAATTAAGAAATGTACTAATAACAAGCACATCAGATTTGTAGTTTGATCTCCCATAGAAAGCTGAAATTTCTTAGCAAGTGACTATTGAGCCAGTAGTAAGTAAATAAATCATAGAAATTCATCTACAACAGATATTTAAAAAGGGGGAAATTGACCATAAATTAAGCCAAACCACAAAAAGGACTGTCTAATAACAGGTACTGTACCTTCTCTAGAAGGCATGCATGACAGTGAACATGTTGAATGGTGGGAAAAGAGGAACTAAGTGCCTTTTTCAATTCTTTAAACAAAAAA